GCTGATATTATTATTATTACAGTACCATATAAATAATAAATAATTTTCGATTTTGTATTATTATTATTCATATTATTATTATTTATTAGTCTTAGTATTATAATTTTAATAATAGTAATTTAAAAAGTTGTTGTTATTGGCGTTTTATTAGTATTTTTCTCATATTATTATTATTAATATTATTGTTGTTGTCACCTTTATTATCGATATTATTACCCTATTATTACTAAGTAGGCCTAGTATTATAAGTATCACTATTATTATTATTACTAATTAGTATTACTATTATTATAAAAATAAACATTATCTTTAATTTATTATTGTTGTATTATTGCTATTATCACCTTCAATATCGTTATTATTACTAATTAGTTATTAAAATTGATATTTAAATATCGTTATTATTACCATACCGGTACTAGTATTATTACTATTATACTGCCTTCTGTTCCCCGTTATTTATTTATTCACTTACTCTTTTTTTTTATGGTAATTTTGTTGTTTTTATGACATAATCGTAATTTTAACTTTTTTGCCTGAATTTTTTATATTGAATATTATTGAATAAAATCCATGAATAAATGAATATTGTCATACGGCGATCTACGTTTAAGACGACCCACAACTTTGAGAAAAATTTTGGACAATTTTTTTATGTCGTGCATAAAAGATGACCCCTGGTTTCATCATCGGCATTCCTACTTTCTGCTGCTTTTTATGGTCTTCATACTGCACAGCTGGCTAATAAGGACATGGTCAGATGTAGGGCCAATCTTTAAAATTATACCATTTTATGGGCTTTTAAATGTTCATCGAAATCTCATTTTCTTCACATTTAAAATTGTGTTCATTCATACTAACCGTTAGTACTGTAGCTTCATTTCAGTAGTAAATTCACATGTTACAGATGACCCATCAATAAGACAAACATAATTCAAAAATTTAAAAACATTATATGTGTTAAAAAACGACCCCCTCCCCCTCTTTTTTGATCGTAATTTTATATTTTAAGCCTGATATGTGTGAGAATATACGGTGCGCCTAGGTAGCATTGCCTCATATCCAATCACCGGAGTGGAAAGGTCAGGATTTTTACATTTTTAGGATTAATTTTAATGAAGGCTCACAATTCATTATCAAGTGAAACACACTGAACTGCCAAATTTAAGCTTAAAATACGTATTCTCACCATCAAGTTATATACATTTTGATTCTTAATTTTTTTTTTTTTTTTTTTTTTTTTTTTTTTTTTTTTTGTAAATGGAAAAAAATACACCAACATCATGGTGGGTAGTAAACACTAAATGTAACCATATTACATTAACTAGAGCGTCTGGTTCTTCCCAAGAACATAAACGATACTAGCCTATTCATACAAATTCGTCATTGGAAATGTCTCAGTGGATACCCCAGCTTGTACTCCGCAGACGGTGCTCCATCTCAACCACATCATTGTCACTAAGAACTGAGGTCTTTTGCCAGGTCGGCATGACAACAAGCTAAATACTGTCGGAATTCCTGGGATTTAAATCATTAGAAATTCCGATGCGAAAGATGACAAAGAATAGCGAGCTGTCTGGTGTAGCATTTGAGGTTACTGTATAATGCAACATGAGTTAATTTTTCTTTTTCTTTCCTTGATAAATAAAAAAAATTATATTTATTTATTTACAATATAAATATAATAATTTAATATGAAAAATAAATACAGTACTTGTTTTCATAATGAGTTCTTCTTGCCTTGATAAAAAAAAAATATTTATTTATTTACAATATAAATATTATAATAATTTAATATAAATAATAAATACTTGTTTTTATGTTTATGAAATTTATAATTTTCTTGCCTTAATAAATAAAAAAATAAATATTTATTTATTTACAATATCAATATAATAATTTAATATAAATAATAAATACTTGTTTTCATAATGAGTTAGTTTTTAACATGAGTCAGTTTTTCTTGCCTTGATAAATAAAAAAATGAATATTTATTTATTTATTTACAATATATATATAATAATTTATTATAAATAATAAATTTGAACTAGAGTTGTTATGCCAGGGTTCCAAGTCTTCAACAAGTTGTAGGAGTTTCCCGGAAATCCGAAAGGTCTTCCTCAACTAAGGAATCTCCCGAAAAATAACCCATCTTCCGCAAATTCATATTTCCGTATTTTAACTATTTTATTAACAATTGTCTAACGAAAAAAAAAAATTGCCGACGGGTATCGCCACATGCAGCAAAATAAAGTTAGATGGACATAGGAAAAATTATTTAACCAGATCTCCCATAAGTAACTTATCCAACTTGGGACACCTGTTTGCTTAGAAATTTTCTGTGCGGAGCTCAAGTCAGGAACATGGGGCTTTTCTGCGGGGAATGTCTGCCATCGCTACTGCCACAAATTATTTCAAATAATGTTTCAGTTCCTTACCATTCTGTCTTGTTTTTCATATAATCTAGTCTGAGTTTTTCTCGGATTCTGAAACAAATAAATAATTCCTGGGTTAGCGTATAACAAGTGTCACAAAGAAAGTGGGTCATAGACTAAGGTGTGTGGACAGTATATACTCGTGTGTAAGATGAGGCTTAAAATAACAAATTACGGTCGAAAAACAGGGGTCGTCTAATACGCGCGACATACAAATTTTTAGTTGTTATAACGTCATAGACAAAATGGTAAATATTACCATTACAATGTTATAAATGTTTCAATAAAGGTTAATTGTATTTTAAAACAATTAAATTTTTGTACATGTAATTTGATAAAATAATGGTGAATTAATTTTTACATCAAGATGAAGAGCCTTTATTGGGAAAATCTTACAAATTACTACGAAATTCATTTTACTTTACTAATTGCAACCTTACTGTTTTGTGGAATGTTTTCGAAACTAAGTCGTCTAGTTCTTCTCCCCTGTGTAGAACGTCGTTTAAAGTACTTTGCTGTGAAAACGTTAAAAATATCAATACTGTAACATTTTTTAATAGTTAATAATAACCAATAGAAATTAAAGTACAAATAATTACAATGATAATCAACTTAATTCATACAGTACATGATAATTCATAGGTACAGTATATAAATAAATGTATAAAGGATGAAAGTATTTTTTCAATGGTAAATATTACTCCTCTTTATTTATTTTTTTCTTTCCTTTTTATTCTCCTCCCCCCAAATCTGGAACCCTGGAACCTACATGGGGGAAAAATCTAATCTGTTGTCAGGAAACACGGCTTTGAAAAAGCTTTTTATAAATTATATTCTCGAGAGTGGCAATTTAGGGCATCTACAGTTGTTATGCCAGGGTTCCAAGTCTTCAACAAGTTGTAGGAGTTTCCCGGAAATCCGAAAGGTCTTCCTCAACTAAGCAATCTTCCGCAAATTCATATTTCCGTATTTTAACTATTTTATTAACAATTGTCTCACAAAAAAGTGCCGATGGGTATCGCCACATGCAGCAAAATAAAGTTAGATAGACATAGGAAAAGTTTTAACCAGATCTCCCAGAAGTGACTTATCCAACTTGAGACACCTGTTTGCTTAGAAATTTTCAGTGTGGAGCTCAAGTCAGGAACATGGGGCTTTTCTGCGGGGAATGTCTGCCATCGCTACTGCCACAAATTAATTCAATTAATGTTTCAATCCCTTACCATTCTGTCTTGTTTTTCATATAATTTAGTCTGAATTCTTGTAATTGCATCAGTTTCTCTTGGATTCTGAAACAAATAAACAATGTGTTATTCATTTGTGATAATTTCTAAATTGATCACTGAATGATTTCATTGCATTGGGAAATGTCAAAGAATTACGATCGAAAAACAGGTGTCGTCTAATACGCGCGACATACAAATTTTTAGATTTTTTTATTATCATGTTTGTCTTATGTATGGATTATCTGTAACACGCAAACTTACTACTGCAATGAAGCTACAAAATGTTAGTATGAATGAAAGTAATTTAAATAAAGGGAAATAAGGTTTTGGTGAACATTTATAATCTCATAAAATAGTATTATTTGGAACATTAGCCTTGCCATAATATCGGCGCTGGTTCGAACGGCACGCTCGCCTATGGCTCTGGTGGTAGAACAAGTCTTCTCGGATAAGGACTATAAACCGTAGGCCCAGTGTATCCACGGTCTCTTATACCCATCT